GGGGGGGGGGGGGGGAGGTTGGCAAACGGGATTTTGATTGATAAAAATGAGCGGCGAAGCGAAGCGGTGAGCGGTGCACGCTGACGAATAAGACGGAACGAAAAAGAGACGGCCGAGGCCGCCGGGGGTGGGGAACCGGGAACCGGGAACCGCGAATTGGGGAAAACATGCTCTGTTGCTAGATTCTGCATAGTCATACGCGTCGTTTCCACCTTATTCACCCCTGTTATCATATTCGCGCTATTATTTTCACGCCAAAAGCGAAGATTCCGCATAGTCCACGCGCCTGGTAGCTAAAAATGAGGCTTATTTTCTATACAAATTAATCTTTTTCGAAAACCGATTATAGTTAGATGACTTATATATATATAAAGTCGCTTTATAACGCACTCTGGCGTTCTACGACACCCAAACGCCACGTATGCCTGTCTTCCCAGAGGTTATCGGGCAACTGACACCGCAACATCTCTTCGTCAACGCCCTGCCGCCAACCCTTTACGGGACGTCCCCGTCGCCTCTTCCCAGGTGGTACCCAATCCAAAACTTGTTTGGGCAACCTCTCCTCCGACATTCTTTGCACATGTCCATACCAGCATAACTGCCTGGACATGACGTCGTGCACGATATCTTTCTCAACCTTCATCACCTGGCGAATTCTCTCATTACGGACACGGTCCCGTCTCGAAATGCCGGCAGATCGCCGCCAAAAATCCATTTCAGTTGCCCTCAACATTTCTTGCGTTCTTTTCGTCATAGGCCACACTTCACTACCATAGAGCACGATACTTTTAACGATGGCGTCATATATCCGGTGCTTGTTTGCCTTTGAGATGCTCTGATCCCAGAGCACCCCGTTCAGCATCGCGATGGCTCTAGTTAGATGACATACTTTTTTATTATTCTTCACGCACAATGGCCATTTCGGGCAGGCCGCCCATCCTCAGGCGACTGTGCATTATGTCGTAATTGTGCAGTATGCTACAACATAGTGATAAAAATGAGGCAACCTGGAATTTCGGGGACACAGCTATTTTTTTGGCTTACTCTATGTTTTTTGGGTCGCTGAATCCGAATCTGAAGTTTTCTTACACGCATCTGGTGAGCATTTGCCGCTATTTCGAAGAAATGGCCTAAAAAGCCTTTTTTGCGGTTTTTTTTTTTTAAATGGCGGCCACGCATCAGGTAAAATCCCAGATTTAGTTGATGTTATGAATAGCTGACGTAATTTGAAAGGAAATGGTATATAAATATGCTAGATTTGCTTCAAAATTGAGGAAGCTCGGAACTCCTAACTTTTGAACGCTTCGGAACTTGGCGGACCGCGGCGAGCCTGACCACGCGTTGACGGGTGCGCCGCAAAAACGTGACTGGGCGCGATGTTCACGATGCTGTATCTTCCTCAATTTTTAAGCAAACCTAGCATATGTATACACCATTTTCTTCCAAATTACGTCAGCTATTCAAAACATTAACTAAATCCAGGATTTTCTCTCATGCCAAGCCGCTATTTAAATAAAAAAAAATAAATAAAATACGCCAAAAAAGACCTTTTAAGGCAGTTTTTTCAAAATGGCGGCAAATGCTCATGAGAAACGTGTGAGAAAACTTCAAATTCGAATTCAGCCAGTCAAGAAACATAAAGTAAGCCAAACAATAGCTGTGTACTAGAAATTCCAGGTTGACTTACCAGGCGCCTGCACTAGCAGTGGACCACCCGACAAGGTGCCAATTTAACTTTAGTTGAATCGCATGATAACGCCCAGATGCAACTATTCGGGCTCCGCGGACGTCAGTGTTGCATACACACGCTGGTGAAGGCGTTTTAACTCCCCGCGCAGTCACTTTATGTATTGCGCTTTTCCTGCTGTCCTTTCGGAAATAACGGAAGGGTTCACGTTTCCATCGGTCTCGTGTCTCTCTCGTTTTTCGCAACAAAAGGGCGGTATCAATCAACTTTTTAACTTCATCTCGTCGAATCACGCAAAATGAAACGAATCCAAAAAGTTGGCCTTGACTGTTCTTTTCGGTAACATTCTTTTTGGTAAAATTAGGCTAACGAGTCTGTTGATTCCGTTCCTTTTTTGAAAAACGAGAGATCTGCGAGAACAATGAGTGCGTGCAAACTGCAGTTGTTTCCGACGTGACAGCAGAAAGAGCACAATATATGAGGTGAGTGAGCGAAAAGTTAAAACGCCTTCACCTTCCTGCGTATGCAACCCGGACATCTGCAAAGCTCGTATAGTTGCATCCAAGCGTTTTCGGCTGAACTGGGATTTAGTTAGACTCAGCGGGACTTAACTGCATTCATAAATTTCCCACAGGAATTTGGCATCGCCTTAATGCTCAAACGGCGTCCTTCCTGAGAATAGAATCATTTTATGAAAAAGCATAGAGAATTTGTCGAGTCAAATTTCCCACGCGGACACTAAAAGTTTCATTTTCTCAGTATTTCATTTTTACACATTTGCAGTAAAGCGAGAGTTTTTTATAGCGGTCGAGCGGTATCCGGTGCCCAGCGAAGCATCATCAAGGAAACCCCGTGATTTCTGGCCCGATTTGACCGGTGCGGTGGCCCGGTGCGGTGGGCGGCGGGGACAGCGGGGAACGGGAGGAAACGGGAAACAAAATAAATGGAATGGAAACGATGCCCAGGCTGAGCTGGCACCGCCGTCACAATTCCTCACCGCCATCGTTCAGGCTCTCATTCTGCCGTCATTGGGAAGAACCCCGTATGAGCCTTCACACGTCGCTATATCCTCTCCAGCAATACTCGATTTTACAGAGAAAACTATTATAATTTCTCTTAAATTTTTTTAGATTATTTTGATCGCAATTTAATCTGAAATACCTGAAAATTGAAAGAGAAAATGTGCATAACTCTCCTCAAAAATAAATATTTTCCCGCTATTGCAGGAATAGAGAATTTGCAGGTGTCTGAAACTTGATGAATTGCGTGTTTAAATGGGAAACTACTGAGTGAACTGAACACGAGGATACCCTTGGTTCATGAATTGATCAATTATTAGAGGAGATATGACAAAATGATCTAATCTGCTAAAATACATATGTTTAAATGGGAAATACCGCCAGATGACGCCAATAGGCGAGGCATTTCTCACTTTTAAATCTTTTTCCATACTATTTCCCATTTCAGAAAAAAATTATAAAAAATACTGTGAAATTAGCTCTTTAAGCTCTTTAAGATAAAGCAATAAAAAACTGCATGCAAATTCTCCATTCTATTGCGTGGGAAGAGTAGTATCTATTGACACGCATGAGATGCACGGTATGCATTCGACCGCCATGAATCGATTTACGTGAACCGTTCGACACCGATTCGATTCGATCGACTTATCGTTCGATCGTAAAATCTGTGTCGACTCAATCGACATGAATCGATTGAAAAATTAAAACTTGAACCGATTGACGTGAATTGATCGACTTACCCGTGAATGGATCGACAACTCCGTGAATTGATAGAAAAACTCGTGAGTCGATCAGCAAACCTTCGAATCGAATTTTTTCGATCAAAACGGCGTTGATAAAATCGCTTCGATCGGTTCATGTTTTTACTGTTCGGTCGATTCATGTCGATCGAATTGACAACGGTCTCGCAGTAGCTTGTCGATTGAATCAGTTGGTCATGTCGATCGATTCACGTTTTCGTTTTGCGATCGAATCCATGCCCTCCGCATGAGATGCGTGCTCATCGTTCCTGATACAACTAAACCAGCACGGCGGTATTGCACAGTATCTTGCCGAATTGAAGGCGCCTCGAGAGTTCCTGTTTGAAGCGAGCATATTACCGCGCCGAGGAAACACGTAGTCTGAGCCCTCTAACGCCGCCATATCAAGAGTGGCGGTAGCCACCCCCGGTCGAGGAAAATGACGTCCTACTGAAGTCCCGATAACAAACGGGTGGCCGACACTCTTAGTCACAGGCAACTCCCTTAATCTGAAAATTGATTCGATTGCCATTCGACTGCAGCCCAAACGACGGCACGGATTCCTACGATCTTGGTGTCTACGGACGCATCTCAATTAGGACTACAAAGTGGAAGAGTTTCATTAAGATCCATTGAGTTTTCAAAAAGTTATAAGCACTTAATGACCCAAAACGAGGAAAATTTTACTTTTTACTTTGCCAGGAAATTTGAAGGGAAAAATTTTGGACCTCTGTCCATGGACAGAAGGAGAGGAGAGAAGAAGAGATGAATTCGTGCGGCTCGTGTATGGAAAGGTCCAAGCGAGTCACGCTTGTTGCGGAGCTCATAATTAAAGGGGGAAAAATTTCAGTTGACATCCTCGACGGATTTTGTGATTTCAAGTTCATTCGAGGGATTTATCTCAAAATCGGTTTTTTATTTATTTTTGGCAAGGGATTTATTTTTCATTTTATTTTTTCCCTTTCGAGTAAGTTTTTGGAACTTTTTGATGATTATTAGTCTTAGTGGACCTTGGGAATTCATCAAAGGTTTT